AATCGATAATCTAAAATCTCAAATTTCTCTAAGTACAACGATATTTATATTGAAAAGAAAAAAAAAAAAAAAGAAAATATCAAAAAAATAGTTGGATAAAAAGTTTTGAACTTTTTCTTATTAATATTTATATTTTTGTCCAATAATTTAAATAATACTTAATGAATTGCACCAATTTTTATTAAAATTTATAAATTTTATCATGCTTATTAATTAAGTTATATATTTAAATTATTAGTATCAAATATATAATTAGTTAAGTCTTATTAAAGCTTAATTTTGATTTGAATTGAAAGAAAACGTATTAAGTTTGAATAAGATTTAAAATTCATGGAATGTATAATCTGTGCTTGAATTTGATAAGAAAATAAATGAATGAATTTGATCAATGTAGTACAAAACTCAATTTAATTTATATATAGCCCTAAACATCAACCATTAATAAAATGAATTTAATGGGTTATAGGGTTGTAAATTAGCTCATTATTTGTTCATATTTGGTTAAATTTTGTTTGCTAAGAGTAAGACAAATGCTCCAAATTATTCATGAATAGTATGTTTATTTTTAATTCATTTGTTGTCATGTGGCTTGTGTTCAGTTTGAATTAGTTTGATGAAATGGTTAAAAATACTATATTTCAATTTTTTAAAATTACTTCTAAAAAATAAAATAATTTGTTATTAAAATTTTTAATTACAATAAACAATTAAGTATAAAATTTAATGTCGAACAATATAATTAATATCTTACACTATAAATAACAAGTTAGTTATTAAAAAAAAAAATAAAGTTTGCAATCAATAATCTTCAATATATATATCTCTTCTTCTTCATGTTGTGCGTATTATCAACATCCAAGTTAATAATTATAATTTTTATCAAAGATAATAAATTCAAAAGTTAACAATAAAATTATTTTAAAAAAGAGAATATAAGAAATTTAAGGGAAATCGATAAGTTATAATTTAGAAAAAAAATGGAAGTTATCTAGCAACATATATTAGTTGATTAGCTTATGTAGCTTAACCAGCAATTTTTTAAGATAAAATCCCTATATAAGACC